ACACACACACACACACACACACACACACACACACACACACACACACAGACATCAGTAATGGGATTCAAAAATTTTTACTACTGGTTCGGTTGGCGTGGCTTGGTGGGTGTGGCTTGATGGGCGTGGCTTGATGGGCATGGCAGGGAAAGGATACTGCAAAATCCCCATTCCCTCCCCACCCCACTAACCTGCTTTCCAGCTCCATTCTCCTGTGCAGGGCAACCAAATAAGACCCAGCCGATCAGTTGGGACTCAGGAGACAGAGAATAGATGTGGGTGGGACCAGTCAGAGGTGGGATTTGCCAGTTCTCTGAACTACTCAAAATTTCCGCTGCTGGTTCTCCAGAACTGGTCAGAACTTGCTGAATACCACCTCTGACACACACACACACACACACACACACACACACACACACACACACAAATGTACATACTCAGACATATATATATGTGGTGTGTGTGTGTGTACGTATACAAACACAAGTTCTCTGCTTGAAGGTGTGTGAGCCATACACTCAGAAATTCTATGTCCCTGTGGATGGACCTCTGACTATTATCTCCCTGTGAGGGTTTCCTGTTCATCTTTTTGATATTGAAAGGGAAGTTTATATAACACAAATCCCCATTGGAATGGAACAGTTCATAAGAGAGAAAATGGAAATCATCCCTGGGGCTGCCTTGTAACCTGAAGGAAGATTTGTGCTTGAGCAGTCATTCTGGATAAGGGTTGACTACCCCTGTAAAGAGAATATTGAAGCTTTGCCTTGTCATTTGCCTGCTTGCTTGCAGCACTTTTCAAAAACAAGTTCAGCAATGAAATGTTTACCTAATACCCCTTGCTTTCTTCTCCCTGATAGCTCGTGTTGTATATTGATCCTTTTCACTCCTTTTTCTCCTGACAGATTCAGAAGTCTCACCACAGCATTTTTCAGAGATGCCATGGGCTTCCTGCTAATGTTTGATCTCACCAGTCAACAGAGCTTCTTAAATGTCAGAAACTGGATGAGTAAGTGGGAAAAGCAGCTGCCTCTCTTAGCCTTCAGCTCTTTAAGCTTCTGTGGCATTGAACCTGCCGTCTTCAATGCGACAGCTGTCCCCACAAAGAGTGGGATTATGTAAGCTATCCCTGATACAATTAAACACTCTGCCACAAAAGGCACGCAGGTACCTTAGAAGCGATGCATGCTCCTCTCAGAAGTGGCATTCTTTGCCTTGGCCACTGGCTGCAAGGTATCTTTTATGGAAGCTTTAGGAAACTTTGACCTAACAAAGTTGTTTTTCCACTCAGGCACAACTCCCTCCTTGAAGCCTCTAGCATCACCCACCATGTCATGTTTCTGCAAAACGCTGAACCCTGCCCAAACTAGTTTAAACATTACCAAAAGAATGCATGTGAATTGCTTAAAATATATGTATGTGAGTAACAGGTAGCCCTGGATTTAACAACCGTAATTTAGCCCAGAATCAGGGTTAGGGTTGTGGTCGTTATTGAGTTACTATGTGACTGCACCCCATTTTACAATCTTTTTTGTGGCAGTTGTTAAGCAAAAATGGCAGTGATTACATGAAGGCCGTGGTCACTAAAGCAAACCTTTTTTTACTCAATGAGTGATTGTTTTTTTTTTTGCTGGAAACTGGAAGTAAATGTCAGAATAGCATAGCATATAGCACAGCACAGCACAGAAGAGAAGAGAACAGAACAGCACAGCACAGAACAGAACAGAACAGAACAGAACAGAAATCTTTATTGGCCAAGTGTGATTGAACACACAAGGAATTTGTCTTTGGTGCATATGCTTTCAGTGTACATAAGAAAAAATACATTAATCAAGAATCATAAGATACAACACTTAGTGATAGTCACAGGTTACTATAAGCAATCAAATCATACATGGGTTACTAATATGCAATCAAAAATGAAAACAAATAAAACAATATAAATTGTAAAGATACAAACAATATGGTTATACTCACAAGTGGGAAGATATAGGTAATAGGAAGGATGAGAAGAATAATAGTAATACAGTCTTACTAAGTAATTTGACAGAGTTGTGGGAGTTAGTTAGCAAAACTCACCCAAAATTGGTCTTGTGACTGCAGGCTGCTGCAAATGCTTGTTGCTAAATGGCAATAGAAATAGCACTTTGACTTATATACTACTATAGAGTGATTTACAGCCCTCTCTAAGCGATTTTACAGAGTCAGCCTATTGCCCCCAACAATCTGGGCCCTCATTTTACCCCCCTTGGAAGGATGAAATGCTGAGTCAACCTTGAGCCTGGTGGGATTTGAACTGCCAAATTGCAGACAGCCAGCAGTCAGCAGAAGTAGCCTGCAGTACTGCACTACATCACCACGGCTCCTATGCCCCAAATGTGATCATGTGACGGAGGGGGGGCACAGCCAAAGCAACTCCAGAACCAGGTCATAAGTAGCTCAGGAGAGGTCCATCATAACTTCAAACGGTTGCTAAACAACACCAGTTGTTAATCAAGGACTACCTGCTTTATTCTTGTTGCAGCTGTGATTCAGAGAAGAAAAGCAATTCTTATTGGCATTTACAGATTTATTATCTCGATGTTAATTTGATTGATTGGATGGCCCAATGTATTCTGGGTAATAAGACACTAACCATCCTATTTGTATCATAACATTTTTTAATGTAAAAATAGGTAATGAATTTGCACATACTTCATCTATCAGCCTTTCC